GCAGCGAAGAGGCAGGGAACCACAGTGGACACCAGAATGGGTCCTGACAACACCCACAGGCCTCTGCCTTTGCGGTGGCCAGACAGCTGGACCCACCACCACCACAGAGAGAACCAAGCCACCAGGGGCTCTGAGATCTCTGCTGACTGCTCTGCTAAATGCTGCCAGCGTCTTGGCGTTCTGGTGCCTTCTTGTGTGTTCCTTTATTCATTCCAGAAATACTTGGAGGGGGCCTAGGCAGGGCTATGCACCTCCGAAAGGTAGGAGAACAAAGTCCCTAGAGAGCTCACATTTTACCTAGGAAAGAGTGGAAATGCATCAAATACCAAGCACGCCAGCTGATGAGATCTGACAAAACTCATGCAGGGGACGAGGACACGCTGGGCTGGGCTGCTCAGGGCATGGGCACACGGCATCCTCTCAAAGTGCTGGGGAGCTGAGTGTGTGGTAGGGGCCTGGGAGGCTGAGGCAGGAGGATTACAAGTTGGAGCTCACCCTGGGCAACCTAGCAACTCAATGAGAAAATCTATCAAAAAAAAATTTAAAAACTTTTAAAAAGTATTAAATAAAGGCTGGTGAGATAGCTTATCAGTCTAAGCAAGGTCCTGAGTTCAATCCCTGGTACCGCAAAAAAAATAAAAAAATAAAAAAAATAAAGCGTTAAATAAATGGCTGGGGATTTAGCTCAGTGGCACAGCACCTGCCTGGCAAGCATGAGGTCATCAGTTCAATTCCTGATTTTTTTTTTAAAATGTGTTAAATAAAACTAGAGTGTAGAACATCTCACTGGTGGTGTGGATTTAAACATCTTTGCAAGTGAGTGAGTACAATCAGCAGGGTCTGAGGAGGTGCGGCTGTGAGCTCAGACAACTCCAGAGCTTTGGGTCTGGGCTGAGGTGCACAGGCCTCAAGGTGTGCACAGAGTCAAGGGTGCAGTCCTAGCACCCCAGAAGACTAGCACAAAGAAAGGAAAGGGCCTGGTGCTCTCAAAACCGTAGGAAGACAGTGTCCCAGGAGGAGGAGCCAGGAAACAATGGGGAGGAAGCCAAAGAACGAACTACAGGGAAGGCAGCTCAGGGGCCAGAAGCCTCCCTGGAAAGCAGCAGTGGGAAGGGAGCCTGAGCTCATCCAGGGAGGAGGAACTGGATGCAGAGTGTCTGGGCACTTCACGGCCTCTAGTTACAAAGGGGAGCTGAGGAATGAGGCAGTGGCTGGGAAGGAGGTGGGATGAAGATGGGAATTCTTCCTCCAAGATGGGAGGCCAACTGGGTCAGGAAAACAGAAGAACAACCTCATTAGGCCTTCAGCTAATCCTAGCAGGAGTGAGTTAAAAGCAGATTTTACTAGAACAATTCCCCTGGCAAGCTGATCAAGGATGGGAGTGAAGAAAGAGAACAAAGCCAGACAAGGGAGGCCACTAGGTGGGCTTGGGACTCCTACCAAGAGGTCAGGAAACAGCTGCCACACGGGACAGAGAAAGCTGAGCACATGAATGCTGAGCCCCTCCCTCCAAGCAGATGCAGGGTGCAAGGGGCTCACTAGCCTTGAGGTGGCACGTACTCATGCGGAGCACAGATAGGTAGAGACTGTCAAAACTGCACACTTCAGAGAAAGAAAGACCTGCATAGATACTTTAATACTAAATTTATGGGCTGGTGAGATGGCTCAGTGGTCTAAAGAACCTACTTAGAACAAGCTTAGCAAAGCACAGGGACCGCAGTTCAATCCCCCAGCACCACATGCCAGCCAGCCCCGTCCCCTGGTGGGCTGAGCTGGCCACACACACACACACACACACACACATAAATAAAAAGATTTTATTTAAAAAAATACTAAATTTATTAGGGTCAGGGAGATGGCTCAGTAGAATAAGCGCTTACCTGGCAAGCACAAGGGCCTGAGTTCAATCCCGGGTTCCACAAAAAACAAAAACAAAAACAAAAAACTAAATGTATTGAGATATCATGAGATCCATGCAAGTTAACTGTCCTCTCCAATGACAAGAGGTGCTCGGCAGAGGTCGTCAGCCGCAGCTTCATGAGGACGGCCAACTGCTGACAGGTCTGCACCTTTTAGGAGTAGACACTATTTACTCTAGCTGGAATGCATTATTCACTCTGGGGTTGTGATAGAGCACAACAGCTATCTCACCCCCCTTACTAAGCTAACCAAGAATAAGGCAACCCCTTGCAACTGCTACCCACCCTGAAGATAAAGCTCTAAAAAGTAGGCCAAGGACAGGCGCACTGACAGCACAGAAGGCCGCTGTTTGTGGAACACCAAGAGATGTTGGGGGGCCGGGGAGACAGCTCAGTAGAAGCAGCGCTTGCCTGGAAGCGCAGGGTCCTGAGTTCAATACCTGGTACCGCAGAGAGAGAGAGAGAGAGAGAGAGAGAGAGAGAGAGAGAGAGAGAGAGTAGGCAGAGGTGCCCAGGAGCCAGTGCAGTGAAGGCCAACTCCAGGCGGGAGGAAAGGTCTCTGACCCCCCACAGAAACAGCTAAAGACAAAGGCCCGCTCATCCTCTATCTTTCCCTAGTTCCCTTCCCTAATTCTTTATCACATAGCTACCCAACTTCTTGCCCATCCTTTTTCTCTTTACCAATAAGGTATCTTCCTTTCATTAAATTTTGGCGTTCTAATTTTTATTGGATGTGATTTTTTTTTTTTTTTTTTTGTATTTTAGGGATAGGTCTACAGGTGTTCAGGATCTTACTACAAGATCAGACTCGTAGTGATCCACCTGTTTACAGCCTCCCAAGAGCTGGGATTACAGGTGCATGTCACCAGGCCCAATCTGAATTGCTCAGGGTGCCCTGGGGGTGGGGCTGGCCTGGCAATCCTGGGGACAGAATTCTGGCCCCTGCACCTGCTTGCAGGCACTTTAATCCGCTGAACTATTTGGCCAGCCCCCTCCCTTTTTTTATACAGGGTGTTGCTACACATTTTTTTTTTTCCAGTACCTGGGATTTTTGAAAAGCTGTTCCCCATAGGGTTGGTGGCTGTAGGAGAGACTAGCCTTGGTCTTTTGATCCTCCTTTCTGCCCAGAGGCTTCTGGCCCCCTGGGGCAATGAGCTGGACAGGAAGGAGCTCAGGCCAAGGAGCACAATTCCAGAGCAGAAAGCTCAGAATCAGAGGCCTCAGAATATCACACTGCACAGTCACCAGCCCTCCTTCCTGCACAGACCTGTGCTGCAAAGCCGCAAATTCCTTCCTGGCGCCACTCTGGGGGCACGAACTCCTCTATACCCAGAACTATTATTGTTCAAGTAGTGTGGTCAAAGCAATATTCTCCAAACTTTAAGGATTTTTATTTTTATTTTTTTTTTTTGCGGTACCAGGGATTGAACTCAGGACCTTGCACTTGCCAAGCAAGCGCCTGTTCTACTGAGCTATCTCCCTGACCCCATGATTTTTTATTTAGCTAAAACATATTTTCTCCCCCCCCCCATTACTGGGAATTAAACTCAAGATCTCACTGAGCTACATCCCTAGTTCCCTCAACTTTTGTTGTTTTTGAGACAGGGTCTCAATGTGTATGTAGTCCAGGCTAAACGTGAACCCACTATGTAACTTACACTAGCCTTGAGCTTGAGCCAATCCTGCTTCGGTTTCCTGAGCAGTTTTTTTTTTAAACATTTATTTTTTTTTAACATTTATTTATTGTGTGTGGGGGGGTGGCCAGCTCAGCCCACCAGGGGGCGCGGCTGGCTGGCATGTGGTGCTGGGGGATCGAACCGCGGTCCCTGTGCTTTGCTTAGCTTAGTTTGTTCCAAGTAGGTGCTTTAGACCACTGAGCCATCTCTCCAGCCCCCTGAGCACTTTGATTACAGGTGTTGCTGGCTCCCAGCCCTTTGTAACATTTTGCAACAGGGCCTTGATAAGTGCCTCAAATTGCAGACCTCAAATTTTCCATCCTCCCGGGGCTGGGGAGATGGCTCGGTGGAATAAGCGCTTCCCTGGCGAGCCAAGGGCCTAAGTTCAGTCCCCGGTTCTGCCAAAAAGGAAAGAAAACTTTTCGCCCTCCTGTTGGGAGAACACCCGAGACTCTGTCACTGCAGATAATGAAGCACTCAGACACCAAGAAACCTCCACGTAGTAAGGTTTCACGTACTTTGCAGAGGCACGAGGACGCTAGCATGAGGCAGCACTCCCAGCACGGGAGGTCGCAGCGGGCTCTTTTTGTTTCCAACATAAGCAGCAGTTATCTCCCCACTGGCTGCGTGAAGGTTCACTCTGTCCCGACTGGCTAGTGTAGGCAGTGAAGGGCCGGCCGAGAAGGGGAAGGGGGATGGCAAGTCCCTGGCTGCGGGATAAATTATCTTTAGCTTTCAGCTGTGTTCCTGGAATCCAAACTGAACAAATATATCTTTTTAATCTCTTATTTATTTGGTACAGGGTCTTGCTACGCAGCTCCAACTTGTAGTGACCCTCCTCTCAGGCTCCCCAGCACTGGGATTATAGGCGCGGGCCACCCCGCGCGGACTCGGTGCCCAGCACCGGCCTGCCCACCGTGCCGGGGATCAAGCCTGGCCCTTGCGCTCGCCAGGCAGGTGCTTAAGCCTGTCGAGCTATCTCCAGCCCCGGAGCAAGTGTAGACTCAACAGGAATGCAGCGGGGGAAACCTAGAGCGAACTAGAGTTGGTAACTTGATAAAGAGCTCCTTGGAGTCAGCCTCAGCCTCCGGAGGGACTCAATTACAGGCGTGCGCCACACCAGGCATCTGCCTGTTTGCACAGGAAATTTTATTTCATCACTATCATAAGTATTTTTTCACTCCCCACCATTAATATTTTAAATGCTTAATACGTTTTAACATAAATACAAATTAACACAAAAGAGCCCTGCTCCGAAGAAATCTAGTGACATTTTGTGGTGTTGATTTAATACACATTATCACCTGACGGAGTGGTCCAGGAATCCCTCGTTTCCTCTGAAAGCAAGTCACACCTAGGAGGGCGCCACACCCTTTGCCGGCTACCCGCGTCCCCAAGGAGGGGCTCACTCCTCCGCGTCCAAGAGTTCCATTTTGCCGTTTCTGGCGCTAGAGCTTGAGCCGAGGGTCCCGTGCTCGCCAAGCAAGTGCTCTACCACGGGGCACACGCCACCCGCAAGCTTCCTCGATATACAGATGGGGTGTCTGTGTCAGGGTCTTGCGGCATCGAGCTCACCGCAACGCTCCTGCCTCAGCCTCCCGGGCAGCTAGGATTACAGGCGTCACCACACCACGCCGGCCTCGACCTCAAACTAAACCGTCCAGGGTGGTCTGAACTTCTGCCTTGCCCCCCAGAATGCTGAGATTACAAGGGTGCGCCACGCTGTCAGCTGGGCTCTACTCTCCCGAGGCCGGAGGCCCAAGCGCAGTCCTGAACCAGCCCTGGCCGCCAGCCCGCGCCCTCGTTACCGGAGCGCTCCGAACTTGGCGCCCAAGCCCAGGAC